CAGAAACAGAAACAGAAACAAAAGCGAAACAATTCTGAAAACGATTCAGATTTAATTGCATTTTTCTGACCTGAAAAGTAAGCCAAGAGCCGAAGCCAGAACCAGAGCCAGTACCACTTTTGTGCAGTCGAAAAGAAAATCTTGTGTTCCAGCAAATGCCTGGGAGAGCCTGCTGTGTTGACCCAATAAATAACCCAAGTCCCCGGCCCCGCCCCGCCCCCTTTCGTTGCTCATTAAATGAGCCGCCGCCCCACGTCACGGGCAGATGTTGCTGCCGGAATTTGAATAATGCCAAAAGGCCCAAAAGGCGGCTCGTAGGAGAAATCATTTTCAATCTACGTGCGAATTCAAAAAAAAAAAAAGAAGAAGAAGCCACCCCAGTGGGTGGTGGGTGGTGGGTGGTGGTGTGATTGCTGGCTCTCGCTTGCTGGGCGCCTAATTAAAACTCATTACCATAAGCATCAGAACTTGAGCAAGCCACAGACCAGGGCCGTCCCGGGCCGGACGGCAGAGACGGAAGGGACTGCCAGTCAGGAAATTTAAATCAATTCACAAACAAGCCAAAGAGAGAGCGGGAGAGAGAGAGCGCAAGCGGGACAGGAGACAGGAGCGGCTACCAGGCCGTTTAACCTTTTCTTTGGCTAATGCAATTTCCTTGCCAGACGGCGGCATTTTCTGCTTTCGATACCCTGTACTGAAGGGGTGTCTGTGTTCCAGCCACAGTTCCGATGAGGACTATTCCATACTGATCACTTTTTAGCCCATTGTTTTTTGGTTTTCGTTGGATTATTTTTCACAATTTTGACGTGGATTATCCCGATTATCGCTGGTTTGCAGAACTTAAACGCGCTCGTAGTTCAGTCGATGAGGACTTCTTGTTGTGCCCCAAAACATCGCTAGTATCCTCCTTTTTAGGGGTCTTCCAAGCAGAGTTGGTTCCATCTATGGAGCAGAGGGTATCGCTTGGTCGGCTACCCAGCCCCAGCTCTACTGCAACCTTCTGCCTTGCTTCTGTTGCTGTTTCTTTTTGGCTTCCGCTTTTTTGGGGTTGAATTTGCCTGAAATTTCCGCACTATCCCACCCCGCTGCCTGCTTCCTGCCGTGTGGCAGTCACCCACCCCTGCAGCATAGTAAAAGTGAAAGCTACATGCGTGCAACGACCCCTTTTTCATATGCCCCGTATGCCCCGTTCCCACCCTCTTGCGTCTGCCAGCGCGCTCTCCCTCTCTCGCTCCTTTGGCAGCTCTCTGCTCGCTTGACACTCGCTCTCGCTAGCTCTCTGTCTCGCTCACGCTTTGTCTGGCTATTCATTTTCCCTTTTGCACTGTTTGCTGTTGTTCTTTTCGTCGTCGAAAAGTTTTCGGCCACATGTGCAACAGTTCTGCCGTCGTCCTGCTGGCGGCTTCTGGGCGCCTGTTCCCGTGCCGGCTCGCATTTTTGTGCCAGGCCAAAAAGGACGAAGCGATGAGCGAGTTTTGCTCTCCCTCGCTCGCTCTCGCTCTCTCTGTACTTTGTAATGGCCATTGAAACTCAACTTAAAAGTAAAGTTTGCACAGCATTTCAATAGAGAGTGGCGTAGGGTTGGGGCCAGGGGCAGGGGGCAGGGGCCAGGGGGCAGGGGCAGGAAGCTTGAGTTTTAGTTTTTGGCGTCTGCTTTTGTCTCGCTGCAACTTTTCTGTTGTTTGTTGCCGTTTCCACTTGCCGGCTCGGCTTTGTTTCCGTTTCGGGTCCGGGCCCGGGTCCGGGTTCTGGGGCTCGCGCCAACTTTTTGAAATGTTTGTTGTTGTGCGCGCCTCTTTATCTCCAAGTGGAGCACAAAGAGTGGAGCCACGATGGGGTCGAAGGGGTGTACAGGCTGGAAAGCAGAACTGGGACACTTACTCGGAATCCCATACAGAGTGCATCAATGGGAAAAGCAATCAGTACCAAGGAATACCTGCAATTATCGATATCCTGCACACTCGTACAGCCTTTTAATGGAAGCCATATCCCCCCCATACACCTACCATATTTTCCTTCTTTTACATTTCCCCAATTCAAACCAGAAATCTGTGTATCGATGTTACAAGCCCGTACAGCAGGAAGCATAACGAAAATGTGCGTGTGAGCAAGTCGCAATTGCGTAAATCTCAATCAAAAGAGGCACGAGATGAATGAAATCAACAAAGAAAATTGACACTCACAGGAAAAATGGCGGGACACTCTACCGAGTACATTGTAGAAAGTCTTCCGCTTAACCGAAAGTGCTGATTGGTGCTTTGAACCCATTGTCATGCTCTGAGAGTCAAATGGCATGTTTGGAGCAGCGGAAAAAGTGCAAAAGCGCAACAGAAATAGTTCGCAGCACTGCGGCAAATGGTTTGTCGGATCTCATCACGACATATCCTTTGTTTTTTCTCGTCGTCGCATAGTACCATTGAAGAGCAGAGAATTTCGGTTGCTTTGTTTATCATTTTGTGTGGGTGTTGGGTGGTGTTTCGTGTGGGTTTTGTGGGTGGCAGCTACTCGTAAGTTTCGGTGTCAAGCACCCTGTTGAGTGCCAGTTAGGGCCTGCTTTTGGCACTCTCTGAGAGTGCTTTGCTCCCTCTGTATCTGTGCAGAGATACGTGTGCCGAAAGTATGCCGGATGCCGGCTACCGACGACCGACTACCGGCTACGGCACTCTGGGCGCCCATTCCTCACTCACCCCAATTGTTGGGCTCGGCCTTCCTTCTGGCGGGCTCTTCGTTATCGCGGCTGGATATTGACTGCGATACGCCTGCTAAACTTTCGCACCCTTTTAGGGCCCTCAGGGGTGGACGTGGACGTATCGTCTCGTCTCGTCTCGCCTGTCTACGGGCGCCGCTGGGGCAATTGCTTCCTTCGTTTGTTGATCGTTACAGTAAATCATTTGAAATGAAATTTCACTGCCACTGCCATTTCCACCTCCGCTTCCCTCCCCCAGCTGGAAACTACGGGTAAGTGGATTGCGCGTAGGAAATGGAAAACATGTGACCATCTCCCAACCCCTCTACTGCTGCCGCTGTCTCTCTACTCTTTAAGGGGGGTGGATGGGATATTCCTGGGTGGTTTTTGGTTACTTTTTTGCTTGTGCCAGCCAAAGCTTAAGTTTTCTATTAGACAACAGGGCCACGGCATGGCCACGGCAGCGCCACGGCATGGCAGGGTGATTTTTACAGCGTCAGCTAGAATAAAAAGGGAAACCGTAAGCCATATCCGTAAGTTGAGGTCATTTATTATGCTCATGACACCTTCCCTGGCATCCAGCATCCAGCTTCCAGCCTCCTCCCCTCCCCCTGGACCTGGCATTCCCCTCGGTATTGCCGCCTCATGGCCACATTTGTTATCTGGAATCTGGAAGCCCTCGTCTCTGGTACACCCATTGTTGTCTGCTGGCCAAATTATGCATCAATTCATAAAAATGGCTGGCAACAGTCCCGTTACTTTAATGCCGTTACAGTGTTTATCGATTGCAGCCTAGGGATGGGCGAAAGAGCCGAATGGATTTACCACAAAATGACTCGAAAAGAAGGGATATATGGATACATTCAGTGATGGACGATTAGCCGGGACTCCATTGCCATTAGTTTTATTCGTATGTGCTTCGTAGATACTTCTTGCTCGTTTCAATTATGCTCCTAGCTCGCTGTCGAGCAGTTCCATCCTACCGCAAATTCAATTAACCCCCGAAAATGGTCTCCGCACCAAAGCACCGAAGAAATCTGAGCAAAACATGGCCCAAACGACACACAATTAAAACGGGGACCACAAACTGTGAGCCAATTTAGATAAGCCCAAGGATATGTGTGTGTGCAGCCCCCAACCAGCCTCGGCAACGGCAACCCCATCTGGGCAAACGACTGCCTCTGCGCCACACTCCATTCATATCTTGTGCAACATAACAATTAGTAGAGACCATAAAACGAGGCGGCCGGAGTGGGATGTTTTGGGAGCACGGAGCCGGAGCCGGAGCCGAAATCGAGTTGAAGTTGAAGTTGTTTACATTCCCCAGTCGAGAAATGTGCACTAAAGTATCTAAATTTATAAGAGAAGAATACAGAGCAGAACGGAGGGGAACGAAAGGGAGGCGGAGCGGGATAGGGGGGCACATGCATATGCACTCCCGCTCCCGCTCCCGCAGATGCTGTGCCCTGCAGATGAGGCATGCAACCTGCCACCGGGCAACGGGCACCGGGCACTGGGAATTTATGACTACAGTTTAGAGTAAATACCGAAAAATCTCAATTTGAGAACCGAAAATATACGAACTTCCAACTTGTGTTTGCCTTCAATTAGCGTGGAACTTTCGGCCTGGCCCGGCATCTAAATAAACAGAAAACCGAACCAGCAGAAGCTATAAAAAAAAAAACCCCCGCCCCCCCCCCCCCCGACGAGTCTTCATGGTCTCCAAAATGAATCCATCGGTGCATGGAACTAATGCACTCTCCCTCTCCCTCGCTCTCCCTCTCTCTCTTAAGAAATGTGTTAAATGTTTGCGTAAATAAAACAAGCAGAGAACCTGGAATTCTCAAACAACATCACATCTCCTACTGCCCGTGCCCGAGCCGGAGCCAGGGCCAGGGCCACGCCCATAGTCGTCGTGGGTCTTGGGTTCAGGTTGGGCTTCGTTTGTGTTTTTCCGCTTTTCCTGGGAAACGCTGTTGGCTGGTCAGGCTTTGGTTTTTTGGTATTTGGTTACCATGTCAAGTGGCAGGTTACCCCTCACGCGGCCCACTCGAACCCCGACCCCACCGCCACTGCCAGGCCAAGAGTTCCAGGAATGTTGATACTCATATTATGCATGCCCCTTCATCGGCGACTACCTATAGAAGAATGCGTCTCGGAATTGGTCTAATGCTCATGCAAACAAATTGCATTTGTGGGGAAACAGAAGCCAACGATGTGTGAAAATGGAATGCATAACAGATCTTCTCTTTTCTCTTTTCTCTCTCTCGGAACATTTATTAATGCCATCTCTCGTTTGTTCTCTTCCTGGTAGAACGCGTCCTGCGCTACTGTGAATCCCCGTCGGTGGGTACCTGCTGCACCTACAACATGGAGACCCGCATGGCGATGCAGTCGCGCCAGCAGCTCGAGGGCCACACCAAGGAGCAGATCACCCGAATGTCGGGCATACTGGGCAGCAAGGCCGTCAAATTCAATGGTAAGTCACTCCGCGAGCCACTTGAAGGGGACCTCCCCGCCTCCCGATTAGCGATGGTTTTTCGGGCTGCCCCACGCCACTGCCACTGCCACAATCGTGCGGGCCTCGAGTTACAGACAATGTCAAGTGGCAGACGACAATGCGGATGTTGTTGGGATCTCAGCGGATGCAGCATGCAACAGAAATACAAATAAAATCGAATTCTAAACATTTAGTCGGGCGGATGTGCGCCATTTTTCCCATCCCCCAATCCCCATTCCCCGAGTCCCCCCCACTTTCTGAAAATTTCTCTCTAATTTGATTTTCCTCTCGCTCTGTGTCTATCTTGCAGATATTTTCAGCGAACTGCTGGTGGAGTCGAAGGCCCAGTTCCACACGATGTTCATGCGTACCTACGGAGTGATCTACCAGCAAAATTCGTACGTCTTCTCGGATCTGTTCAAGGAGCTGGAGAACTACTTCGCCCGCGGCCGGGTCGATCTGATGGAGGTCATGGACAAGTTCTTCAACACGCTCTACCAGAAGATGTTCACCGTCCTGAACACCCAGTACGCCTTCGACGAGAAGTGAGTCCCACACGAAACAAAGACAAACGTGTGAAACCGCAAAGTGTCTCGGGCTGTCAGCCAGCGACGATGGAACTTTGACATGGCCCAGAGGCAGGGGGGCAAAAGGCAGGGGGGACCGGCGACCGGGCCTGGTGTGCAATTTCAGTTGACGATTCAATATACTTTTACTCGGAGATCCCTACGCCCTAAAGTGGCTTTTGTTTTGTGTGTTTTTGTCTGAATTTGATTGCGGTTAATACGCTTAAAGCATAGAGAAAACGACTCCGCGACTCCATCCTACACGCATCAGAGATCTCTCTTCTGCCCACAGTGTGTAGGCAGGCAACCCACCCAATCATCTGCCCGATGCTTAGAGCAGCCCCCCCCCCACACATAGAGCCATCCGATCCGATCCGAACCGAACCGAAACCGCACTTTATGCCAGTTCCTGTTCCTCAGTTGCTCTCATTTCCGCAGACACAACCACACACAGAAAAACATTGCGCCCTCTTGGCTCATTGCCCTGGAACGGTCTAGGGATGAGGAAGGAGTAGGGGCAATGGCAGGGGCAGGGACAGGGGCTACTCCGGTAACCAACGACTTGGCCAAATGACTTTTGGTGCTGCCCCAACCCCAGCCCCAGCTCCAGGACAAGGCTCGTGTTACCCACGCGCTTTCCCATGCCAACTCTGGCTGTGACATTGCTGGCGATTCGGTTTTATTGTCATCGTTTTAGTTTGTCGTACGTGCTTTGGCACGTTGTTGTCCGTTTATTGCCATTGGACAGGCTGGGGATGGCCGGGGCAGGGGCCAGGGGCAGGGGCAGGGGCAACAACCACAGGAATAGCGATGTCGCGTAATTGCCGGCACTTGCCCTGCCCCTTTGGCTGTTGCTTGGGCGGTTTTTTGTTTGCTCTGGTCTGTGCGGTTGGTCGCTGCAACTGCTCGCCGGTTCTCTCCCCCTTAGAATGGAGCAGCGAAGGCCCAGGCACTTAATGAGGGGGTAACCTCAGCAGTTGAGCAGGCGATAACAAGGATATCGAGTGGATGGAAGGGCAAGCAAAGACTAGAACCCCATTAGAAGCTGGCAAACTCTTGGATCTGCCCTCGCCCGCCCATATCTTGGGTGCTGTGGCTGCTGCGGCTGCTGCTTGACTGATCTGTCGGCATTGTGAATGCAGCTGGCAGTAATTTCTAAATTGTTTAGCCGTGCTGGTAGTGGTAGTCGATGGTCGCTGGTCGATGGACACTGCTGCTTGACCATGGTGACAGGGACAGGGACATCGTCAGTCCAGTCGGAGCCGAAAGCAGAAGGCAGAAGGCAGAAAGCAGCCGTACAAGTGCATTGACTGTCATGCCTGATGGCCGAACAACCGTAGGACTAGACACACACCACACACACACACACACACACACACACTCATATCCGGTCCTAGGTGCACCACTTGATGGGCGGGGGGGAGCAACAGCACATGGCGCGGCGGGCAACTATTTTTATGATTTTTCCGCATAAAACAGTGTGTGTGTGTGTGTGCGTTGTGTGGAGGCGTTGAGCCATGCCATTTACAAGCGCAGATTTCCGCTAACAAGCAATGCAAATGTGTACATTTTTCCTTTAATTGCTCTTCTCCCCTCCGTAGATACATGCGGTGCGTCAGCGAGCACATGAAGGAGCTGAAGCCATTTGGGGATGTGCCGGACAAGCTATCCGTTCAGATCAAACGCTCCTTTGTGGCCACACGCACCTACGGACAGGCCCTGGCCACGGCGGCCGATGTGGCCAAGAAGGTTCTCAATGTGAGTTCTAGCCCAAAGATGTAGAAAAAACACCATTTAATATCTCTCCCTCTCTGCCTTTCGACCCTTTAGATACGCCTCAATGCCGACTGCACGGGCGCGTTGACCAAGATGCAACACTGCGGCGCCTGCAAGGGATACACGGAGAAGCCCTGCACCAACTACTGCGTGAACGTGATCAAGGGCTGCCTCCACTACCAGCACGAGTTCGACGGCGAGTGGGAGAACTTCGCCCTGGCCATGGACAAGGTGGCCGAGCGGCTGCTCGGCTCCTTCAACATCGTCATGGTCGTGGAGCCCCTGAACATCAAGATATCCGAGGCCATCATGAACTTCCAGGTGGGTTCTGCTCCGCCCTGTTCTGGCGTACATCTCTGTCGGGCGGCATTAGCATAAGCCAATGAATGGCAATTTGCAACTCGTTTTCGGCCACAGCAGCTGCCGGTTGACTCTTTAAGACTCTGCGTAGTGGGATTTTAAATTATGCTCGCATAAAACTGTCACGGTCTCGGATTGGTTTATGGACGAGACCCCAACCGGGGGGAAACCCGTGAGAGACGGCAGCAATTGAGTTTCGGGGCAAATGAAATATACAAACGAGTATTCTAAAATGAATTTGTTGCCTCATTAAACATACACTCGCACTCTGGGATCGCGTTTAGAGGTAGAGGTCATGGAGATACCAAGATTGGTACGCAGATGGGAAGGTGTGATCGCTGGGCACCACTACACATGTTTCCCGGACTCCTGAGAGTCTCCTCCTTCCGATCTAGTCGACAAAACTATCCCCGATCGAGATACTCAGCGGGCTGGAAAGCGACTCCTTCCGATCTACCACATGAGGCCGTGTGCCGTGACATTTACACAGAATTCCGAAGAATAGTTCGCAGATGAATGGCCATAACTTATTGAATTCTGATCACTGCTATATGTATATATATTTTAGCCCGCCCTCCGGGGTCTTCTGGCCAGATGATGTGCTTTTCTGTTTGTTTTGTGTGCCATTTGAGCGATTTGATTTATTTGGACAACATTTGGCTCGCATATGAATTTAATTTATATTTCCATCTCAAATTTATACATTTCTCGTTTCATTTTTCGCTGCCTTTTGTTGTTACCTATTGTTGTTGTTGTTGTTGTTCGGCATTTTGCTTTTAATGTGTTTACTTTTGGCAGTATGTATTTGTTTGTTGCTTTTTGTTGCCCGTTAAAGGCTATTTTGGCAAAATGCGAAATAGTTTTTAATTTTAATTTGAATTCTTATTCATTTTCCTCTCCTCTCCCCTCCTCCCCTCCTCCACGACTCCGACTCCGACTCTGTCTCTGTTTCTGGCGGCTGCCTAATTTGAAGTTGGCCGAAGCCGCTTTTGATGATTGCAATCTCGTGCGGATTGGCTTGGCCCTCGAAGAACGGGATATCCAGCATTTACCACTTGACCCATCCCGACGTAACCTCTTCCATTGCGGGCACAAACAAAACATACATCAACCGTAGACTGTAAACCGCGAGTGGCTGATGGATGGGTATCGTATCCCCACGTAGGGGAAGGAGATGGGGATGATAAGACAGTAGTCGGACAGGCAGAGGTCTCTGATCGCTCGAGTGGCTCTCACTGAGTAGCTGGTGGCAATCAATTCTTATCTGCGGAATGGGGGATAGGTCAATAGAACCTATTAATAGCCATTAAGAGGCTATATTCCACGGGGTGTTAATGGAATTGATTCTGAATGTGTGACCTTTAAATGGGGATTTTAATAAAATTTAATCTCGAACTCTTTGTTTTCATTACAGGACTCTGGCCAAGACATCACCAACCGCGTGTTCCAGGGCTGCGGCAGACCCACTCTGAGACGAGCCAAGCGTTCCGTTCACCCCAAGCTCCAGGCAGTCCAGGAACTCCATGTGGAGAGCCCCGCCGAGGCTGACACCCTGGACATAGACGCCACATTGGATGAGGCGATTGTGCTGCGAGAGCGGAGAGCTGCAGAGCCAGGCTCCCAGGAAAGCTCCGTCTCACAGCAGTCCCAGGAGCAGGGCGTGGGCAAGAATGGTGGAAACAATGGTGGAGCTGGAGGCGGAGGAGGAGGAGGAGGTGGCAGCGGTGGTGGTGGTGGTGGCGGTGGCGGTGCAGGTGGCGGTGGCAACAACCGTCGCCAACAGCAGCGTCGGAAGCAACAACAGCAGCAGCGACGCAAGCAGCAGAACAACCGCAACGACAACGACGACGATGAGAACGAGAGCGGAGGCGGCGGACGCGAGCCGATACTGGACAGGATCGTGCGGGACATTCGGCAGCGGGTGAAGGAATACAAGAAGTTCTGGTCGAATCTACCGCACTCCATATGCAGCAATGAGGACATAGCTGCCAGCTCCGATGTGGATGTTTTGTGCTGGAATGGACACACCATCGATAGGTACGACACCAGAAGATAGCAGCACGAGTACGCGAGTTACCAGAGCCGTGTTTAACACATCATTTCCCCTGTAGATATATGCACTCGATCACAACGGAGCACGGCTCCAACCCGGAGTTCAGTGGCAACCCGGCCAACACCCGGCAAACGGCTCAGATGTCCTCGCAGCTGTTCCACCTGAAGAACGCCGTCAGCCACCTGCGCAATGCCTACAACGGTCAGGACGTGGAGTGGAGTGAACAGGGTAGGTCGACAGAAAATTCAATAGGGCACGCCCACTTATTCCTAATTCGTTTCTTTTTGTTGTTCTGCAGAAGAGCCGTATTTGGGCAGTGGAGCTGGTTCGGGTTCCGGTTCAGAGGACGACGAGGACGATGACGAGGGCTCTGGCCTGGGTCCTTTCGAGCCGAGCCACAAACCCGATGTGGACCGACCCTCGGTGGATGCCGACAACGATGACGACGAGGATGGCCATCCTCAGATTCCCACACACACATCCCGGCCGAATGTGGACGAGAAGAACCCCTTGGTCCATCCCACGCACTTCGATCATAACGATCTCGACGATGATCAGCATGGTGAGGGCGACGACGACGACGATGAGCTGGAGGGAGGGCATGGCGACGGCGATTCGAATGCCGATGGCGACGCCACTCGCTCGTCCAGTGCACCGGAGAAGATGACGCTACGTCGCGCTCTGGTTGTCTATTTGCTGCCTCTCTATATGGCGTGGTTCGGTGGCGTCTGCGCCGATTTGCTGTGATTAATCAATGTGCGACCTCGCAACCTGGAGCTCCCGCCTCCCGCCCCCACACCACACCTCTCAGTCATTCATCCGTGAAACAAAAAACAAAAGAAAACGTTATTAGGAGAACTACAACTTTATATACGAAATGCGAGTCCAAAATTTTATAAAAACTTTTGATGGAAGCAATCAAAATGCAATCAATCGGGATAGGATTAGGTGTAGGCGTAAGCGTGCCAGCTTAGGAGGATAAGAATTTAGAGGAGGAGCGAGAGAATACGTAACGATCCCCCAATATAGTTCACTAAGAGCCCCACTACCCCTGCCCCAGCCTAGTTCTAAGTGCGAAATTCTATTTTCTAAGTGAGAGAGTGAGAGAGCGAGAGAGCGCGTGAATGTGTTGAATGAATGCAAGTGAATGAATGTGAGTACGAGTGCGAGTGCAAGTGAGTGCCTGTTCAATGTGATCGTTTAGCAAAAATTAACTATAAACTGTGTAGCCCCTAGAGACCTAAGCGATAAACACACACACCTACAATTATAATTTGTATTATATTTATGCATATAGAGAACAGCACAGCACAGCACTGCACACACCTCTGTCTGTCTCAGAGCGAAATCAATTAACCCGAAAATTGAAAGCAATAACTAATGTCAACCGTAACACTGACCCCTAACCTGAGTTAATCCTTAGTCGACTTATCGTATGGCCATAGAAAAGGGTCCGTCCCCTCATTTGTATCTTTCATAGACACCCCTTAACAAAATATATGTATCCTTATATAAATGTATTTATATGGGTTGTTTGCGTGTGTGTTGCCTAGACTTTTGCCAGAAAAAAAACGCATTTCAACTAAACACACTTCGTAAGCCTAAATATTTATTCTAATTTTTTGATTTTGAATATTAAAAAGAAAAGAAACCACAAAAATACAAAAAGTAACATGGAAAATCTATGCAGTTTTAATGTGAACTGGAAAAAGTTAAATTTAAAAAAAAACAACAATTGTGTCGGCAGAGGGAAGGATGTGCCGACGACACAGGAAAGCGAGACAAGGGCTGCGGATCTACCCAGTACTCAGTCAGCACTTTCATATAACTATGAGAGCTTATGATTTATGTAATTTGTACAATATATTTTGTACATTCGCGCCACAGTTGGTATCGCAGTCGATGCTTGACTCGCATGCATTTAACGTCCGATGCTCATAGATTTTAATGATATATTAGGTTTATGGTGGAAGTGGATGTGCAACCCGATAAAGTGTATATATTCTTGATCAGCAAGAAAAAAATAATAATAGATTAGGGTTATTCAGAAAGCTTTTATTTACTTGTCATCGAATGACATCTTAAATGTTGATGCATTTTGAAATTCATTTCAAAAGTGGAATGAAGAAGTACTTCTTCATATTAACCCACAAATAATGGACGGACCCACTTACAGATATTACATACCCTACGCACTCTGTTAACCAGCCATTACCTCTGCTCAATTTCCCCTATCGGTACTCCAATATCTTCCGCTTTAAAGGTCAGTTCCAACAAAAGACTTAAATTTCAATTTACTGGCGATAAAATTGTGGGAGAACATAACGCGTCGTGGTTAAAAAGCAATGTCAAGCTTACATATGTACTGACGGAGCACCGTACCGGTTATAAAAGTCAAGTCGCAGCCCTTGCCGCGGCTAACAGCGTACCGCCTTGTCTTCTTTTAGATTAACATGCTGCATGGTAACTACATGTTAACAGTGGCGCTTTGGCATGTGAAATGCCGTATGTACTGTTAAGCGCAAAAACAGACGCACTTAACGGTCCACTAGATAGTCCGGTTGAACTGGGGATTTCCTGAATCTGTGCGCCAGTTTAAAAGTTAAAACGGTACGAATCTTGGAGTTTTTTAAAGATTATTTTTAATGGCTGCTACACATTTCTTGGTGAGGTTTGCATGTTTTTTGCAAGACTGTCCGAATATTAGGTGTTATGATGTTGGGTTAATGTGGATTGTTTGGTCCAAAAGTGTCTTTGGTCGATTAATAGTGTGATATTGAAAGGTTTTTCATGCTCCTCAATAAGTGCATCGTCCACCTTGTCCATCTTGAAGTTCTCCTTAAAGTCGAAGTCATCGTCATCTGTTTCATCTGCTTCATCAGCTTCATCTTCTTCATCTTCTTCATCAGCTTCATCTGCTTCAGCTTCTTCATCAGCTTCATCAGCTTCATCAGCTTCATCAGCTTCATCAGCTTCATCAGCTTCATCAGCTTCATCAGCTTCATCAGCTTCATCAGCTTCATCAGCTTCATCAGCTTCATCAGCTTCATCAGCTTCATCAGCTTCATCAGCTTCATCTGCTTCAGCTTCTTCATCTTCTTCATCAGCTTCATCTTCTTCATATTCTTCATCTTCTTCGATTTCTTTTCTATCGAAAGTTTGGTTCAATTGTTGTAACGAAGTCCTCAAAGAAATGACGCGATTCAGGAGATTATCCAAGCGTTGACCCATTGATTCCATCCCCTGAAAGCTGGCATTGGGTTTGGCTGCACCTTTTTCCTCTACTTCCTGCCCGGCAGAGCTGGTGCACGGCTGCTTCTCACTCGATTCTGATGAAGACATTTTAATATTTTCGAAAAAATGTATTTTGATTTTCAGTTGATGTGTCTCGACTTTTGCGGAAATTTATGTTTTTCTCAGGTTTTTGTAGTCAGCTAGTAAGAGAGCATAAAACTCCAAGCCACCCGAGACCGAGACCAAAAAGAATCTCGATATCAGACGAGGCTCTTTTGAAAAATAATCAAGTTGTCCCTATTGCGAACAGCTAAACCAAACACTATATAAAATATATTGTATAAATTACATAAAACATAAGCTCACATATGTACTGACTGAGTTCCGTACCGGTTATAAAAGTAATTTCGCAGCCCTTGCCGCGGCTAACAGCGTACCCGCTGGTTGTATATTACATCACATACTACATGGTGACACCATGTTGACAGTGGTACAGAGGCTCTGTGGCAGAATTAAGTAGTGTTAGGCGCGCAATCAGCGGCACTTAACAGTACCATAACATAGTTCGGTTCAACTCGGCTCAAACACTGCTTTGCTTATTTATCCTTCATTTTGATCACTATTTATGATTATTTTATAATGATAATTATTTCATTAGCTGAAACTTGCATTTTAAGCTCTTGGAGTTTCTATCTAATAGGTTAGGTTAGGTCAACCCGGACGGCCCTCAGCGGGGCCACGCATAGGCCAATCTGGCCCTTAGTTATCCGGATAGGGGGGGTGTATGAACCGTCGCGGGAGTGTTTATGTGGTTTTAAAGTCCCCGAGAATCGAGGGGTTTTTAGTCCTTTTGGTCCTTTTGGAGGCATCTTCCAGTGATGCCAGCACTGGGGCGCCCAGGTATCTCCTCCTTGCCCTTGAGAGAGCCGGACAGTAGCAGATGAGATGTTCCAGGGTTTCGATAGCCCCAGGTTCATCACATTTCCTACAACTGTCTCTGTTGGTGATGCCTAGCTTTGCTGCATGTGCAGCAGCCAGACAGTGACCTGTAAGTATTCCCACTAGCAATCTACAGTCCTTTCGTGGTAGGTGCAGTAGGTAGTGGCTAAGTTTCTCGTTGCGTTCCTTGCACATTATCTTCGAGGTTCTGCAGGTGGTGGTACTGCTCCACCTGCTATCAGTCGCCTTCCTTAGCTAGTACGTCCGCCGCTTCGTTTCCTTCGATGCCCTGGTGGCTGGGAACCCAATAGACCCGCACTGTCTTTGTCGTGCTTAGGATGTCTAATGCCTCCCTGCTCGTCAAGACACTTCTGGAACTGACCGCGGACGACTGCATGGATCTTATCGCCGCTTGGCTGTCGACGAATAGGTTGACCGCATCGTGTGCTCGTTCGGTGAGGAGAGCGACCTCCGCTGCTTTCCCGATGGCAAAAACTTCTGCCTGGAATATGCTGCATTGGTCCGGTAGCTTATACGACAGCCTTATTTCAGGGTCTGTACAGTATAGGCCCGCTCCTACTCCTGCGTCCATCTTGGAGCCGTCTGTGTATATATTGAGGTGCTCAGTTTGGTCCCCTCCAATTTTGCAGTCTTCAGGTCCCAAAGATGTGGTTGTTTTGACGTCAAGGCGGGTTTGAGGGGTCATGTAATCAGTTGATCTACTCATGTCCCTGCCAATTGAACTGTGCCCGTATCCTTGTATCGATAGATTTCCTGATGCTATAAGGCGTTGTGCTGCCTTTCCCGCAATCAGGCGAGCGTGAATGTCCAGGGGGTCGATTCCGAGTACAGTTTCGAGTGCTTTTGTTGGGGTTGACCTCAGCGCCACTGTAATACAGAGCAGAGCCTGTCGCTGAGCCTTTTCCATAAGCTTATGGTATGTCTTCTTTTCAGTAGCCTGCCACCACACTAAGGCTCCATACAGCAGAGTTGGTCGCACCACCGAGATGTAGATCCAGTGCATTAGAGCAGGTGACAGGTCCCATGTGCTGCTGAGCATCTTCTTGGATGCATAAAGCGCAATAGTAGCCTTCTTCACCCTTTCCACTACATTGGGCCTCCATGCCAGCTTGCTGTCCAGTACTGTGCCTAGGTATTTCACCTGTGATTTTGGAGTCAGCCTAGTTTGGTCAATTTTCGGGGGGTCCATATCGGTACCTTGTACCTCTTGGTAAAGAGGATGAGGTCCGTCTTGTCCGCGTTGATACTGAGTCCTACCTCTTCCGCCCACTCACGTATCTCCCTGAGTGTACGTTCCATTATTGAGCTGAGGGTCGATGTAAATACACCCGTAATAAGTGTGCTTATGTCGTCTGCATAAGCTGTTATTTTTGGGGCCTTCCTTTCAAATCTCTTAATGAGGTCGTCGACCACCAAATTCCACAGTAGTGGCGACAAGACTCCACCTTGAGGTGTGCCTCTGTGTGCCCCCTTTACCATGGAGGCAGTGCCCCACTCCGATTGCACCCGTCTACAACTTAGGAGTTTTTTGAGCCAAACGTTGATTGCAGGGTGTATGTTATTCGCTTCTAGGCGACTTGTTATTGCGGTTGTGGCCACGTTGTTGAATGCTCCTGAGATGTCCACAAATGCTCCCAAAGCATACTTTTTGTTGTGAAGGGCGCTCTCGATGGTGGCTAATAGCGAGTGTAGTGCCGTCTCCACTGATTTCCCCTTGGTGTAGGCGTTTGTTGGTTGGTTGACATCAGTCCCCCTACCTCATTCCTGATGTGTAAATCCAACAGCTTTTCTAGTGTTTTTAGTAAAAAGGAGGTAAGGCTTATCGGTCTGTAATCCTTGGGACTCACGTGGCTGCACTTTTCTGCCTTAGGGAGGAAGACAACTCTCGAGGTTCTTCATTGGATGGGGATATAGCCCGTACTTAGGCATGCTGAGTATATTGCGAAGAGCCATGGGGTAATAACCTCTTTGGTCAACTGCAATATGGCTGGGAATATCCCGTCCAGTCCTGGTGCTTTTATGTCCGCGAAGGAGTCTATGGCCCAGTGGATTCTCTTAGTGGTTAACAGACCTATTGGGGGGTGCTGTTCCTCAGTTGCTAGGTCCTGATGCTCCTTGGCGTCAGTGACCTCGGTGCATCCAGCGAAGTGCGCCTCCATTATTGCTGTTAGGGCTTCTTTACTGCCCTCTGTCCACTGTCCGTTGTCTAGTTTTAGTTGGCTCTGTACTGTGGGCTGCTTTGAAAGCAGCTTCCGGAGCCTAGCCGTTTCGGGCCACGAGTTCCTTTGTGCCTTACGTATTTCCTTCTTGTAGCTCCTAAGTAGGATTTAATATTCCTCATTGACAATCTCTTCGATCTCTTTTTTTTTGGCGATCTTGAAGAATTCCTTGAGGTTGTTCCTTTGGAGAGAGAGATCTCGGCTCCACCAGAGTGGCTTGGACCTCCTCTTCGTTCTCGAGGGTTTGCACGATGCATGGTAGGCGTTCAGTAACTCGTTGGATAGGGTCTTTAGGGACTTCTCTATATCCTCCGCGGATTTCACTGAGCCCGGATTCGCGAGCTTCGAAGTAACTGTCTTTTTAAACTTTACCCAGTTTGTGTTCCGGGGGTTTCTATAGACTGTTATCTTCGAAGAGTGTTTGAATTCGCACTTGAACTGAATGTACTTATGGTCTGAGAAGGATGGTCTTTCGAGGACTCTCCAGTCAGATACCAAGGTACTCTTTCCCGTGACAAGAGTTAGGTCTAGCACGTTTGACGAGGTGGGACCCACGAAGGTGTGTTCCTCCCCCACGTTTTCTACGTCTAAGTTAGTGGATAAGATAAAGTCTAGGAGTGACTCACCTCTATCGTTGATGTCAGGGATTCCCCACACATTGTGATGGGCGTTGGCGTCTGCACCGATGAGGAGTTGGAGATTTTTGGAGCCGGCTTCTGTCCCCAGACTCCTAAGTTCTTCCGGTGGGGCGGACCTGTCGTGTGCCATGTAGCAGGAAGATGCCATTAGGCGCTTTTCCTCGCTCTCCAGCATCACCACCGTCAGGTCATCCGTGCTGTAATGAGACATAAGATGAGCATGGATTCCCTTCCGTACGAGTACGGCGGTTCAGTTCCTGCTTACCGATGTTGAGTAGAGAAGGCTGTAATTTGAGGACTTTAGTCCGGCCACAGAGTTGCCTGACGCAATCCACGGCTCCTGGACTAAAGCTATGTCGGCGGGCCCTTGCTCCATGGCAATGAGGAGCTCCGCCGACGCAACCTTGCTTTTATGAAGATTGAGTTGCAGCACCCTTAGTGTCATGGGTGGCTAACTCAACCTCGCACGACGGGTTGACTATGATTGTCAGGTCACCGTCCTCCTCCTCCTCCGAGTCGTCCAGCGCAAGACCCTGGGCGGTCTCCACTATGGTCTCCAGACCTAGGTCCTTCTCGACCTCGCCTGCCTGGAGGGTGTGCGCATCTTTGTCCTCGGGGTGGCGCTTTTTCAGCCGTAGGTATACGCTACCTACGCCCCACGCCATCTTCCCGAACTTGGGATACAGGATGTCCTCCGCCTCCTTGCTGATCTGGAGGATCACGTGCTGGCCCCCCTCGTTGTGTAGTGGGCTACCGGCATGCAGAACCTTCCAGTCAGCCGTTGGCACGTCCGGATTTTGCCTCTGCAGCAGCTTCAGTGCTCGCTCCCCCTGGACAGCAATGGGGAAGAGCACCTTCGCCTTTGGTATGGACTGGATCAGCTCCCTGTCTACCACCTCCAGCTTGGCCCCCTCCCACAGAGCTTCCAGTAGGGACACCTTCTGCACCAGCCACTGCCGCGTTGGGTCGTCGTTACACTTGAGGATTTTGACCCCGTTCAGCCATCCCGCTCCATCGAACGTGGGCATGGGAGCGCTAGGGTCCTCCTCCATTCGCGAGAACAGTTCCTCGACGAGCTGCGCGTGGACTAACTTCCACTGCGCCGCCGTCATCTTCCCGTTCTCGTCGCTGCGGTCGATCAAGGCCACAATGAGATGTCTCTTGGACACCTCGCTCATGGCCTTCTGTCTCGGCTTCCTCGTCTTCGGCTGGGGGGTGGCCACCTTGGGCCCGCGTTGCCGCTTGCTCGCCGGAGTGTCTTTGGCAGCATTCTCGATCGAGCGTTGCCTCTTGGTGGCCAACATCTCCTCCACCTTGTTGGCGAATCCACCGTTGGTTGCCTTCATCTGGGGCAACTGCGCGTAGTGTTCGCGGCCCTCCTTTACCCGTTGCTCAGCCCAGGCTAGCTTGGACTTCTCCTCTTGGGAGATATCCGCCTTGCCCCGGAGCCGGCTCAGTAACTTGAGGGCCGCCTTATACTGAGCTTTTGCCTTCATCCCCTCCCTGGAACGCTTCGGACCTTCCCTACGCAGGGAGCTGGTACCTGGTTCCGGCGAGCGGAGAAGGCATAGCGTTTTATGCCTGGCCGCCAGGCACCTCTAGCCATGGCCTTGGTTCAGTTCCCCCGACTTTAGATCGGGAAGACGATGGACCATAGCCTTAGCTAGACACTGCATTACCCCGGGCAGGGCAAGCGACAGTGCATTATCCTCGCCCGGGATAATGCAGTGTCCATTGCCCAGCCGGCACCCTCGTGGAGGATTCAGCTAGAGGGTTTTTGCCAGACAGATTCTATCTAATAAACGATAATGTAATGTTTTGTTACAGTCTTAGCCCTCAAGTATGGCGCACTTGCTTAAGAGGAGCCAGTGCCTTGTACCCCTTCCGCTTTTTCCGTACACATGGAATTGGATGCTCATCAAGCTGCATAAACCTCGTGGCCAAATAGAGCCGTTTGCTCAAATTTATACATTTCTCGTTTCATTTTTCGCTGCCTTTTGTTGTTACCTATTGTTGTTGTTGTTGTTGTTGTTCGGCATTTTGCTTTTAATGTGTTTACTTTTGGCAGTATGTATTTGTTTGTTGCTTTTTGTTGCCCGTTAAAGGCTATTTTGGCAAAATGCGAAATAGTTTTTAATTTTAATTTGAATTCTTATTCATTTTCCTCTCCTCTCCTCTCTCTTCCTCCCGACACCGACTCTGTCTCTGTTTTTGGCGGCTGCCTAATTTCAAGTTGGCCGAAGCCGCTTTTGATGATTGCAATGTCGTGCGGATTGGCTTGGCCCTCGAAGAACGGGATATCCAGCATTTACCACTTGACCCAACCCGACGTAACCTCTTCCATTGCGGGCACAAACAAAACATACATCAACCGTAGACTGTAAACCGCTAGTGGCTGATGGATGGGTATCGTATCCCCACGTAGGGAAAGGAGATGGGGATGATGAGACAGTAATCGGACAGGCAGAGGTCTCTGATCGCTCGAGTGGCTCTCACTGAGTAGCTGGTGGCAATCAATTCTTATCTGCGGAATGGGGGATAGGTCAATAGAACCTATTAATAGCCATTAAGAGGCTATATTCCACGGGGTGTTAATGGAATTGATTCTGAAAGTGTGACCTTTAAATGGGGATTTTAATGAAATTTAATCTCGAACTCTTTGTTTTCATTACAGGACTCTGGCCAAGACATCACCAACCGCGTGTTCCAGGGCTGCGGCAGACCCACTCTGAGACGAGCCAAGCGTTCCGTTCACCCCAAGCTCCAGGCAGTCCAGGAACTCCATGTGGAGAGCCCCGCCGAGGCTGACACCCTGGACATAGACGCCACATTGGATGAGGCGATTGTGCTGCGAGAGCGGAGAGCTGCAGAGCCAGGCTCCCAGGAAAGCTCAGTCTCACAGCAGTCCCAGGAGCAGGGCGTGGGCAAGAATGGTGGAAACAATGGTGGAGCTGGAGGCGGAGGAGGAGGAGGAGGTGGCAGCGGTGGTGGTGGTGGTGGCGGTGGCGGTGCAGGTGGCGGTGGCAACAACCGTCGCCAACAGCAGCGTCGGAAGCAACAACAGCAGCAGCGACGCAAGCAGCAGAACAACCGCAACGACAACGACGACGATGAGAACGAGAGCGGAGGCGGCGGACGCGAGCCGATACTGGACAGGATCGTGCGGGACATTCGGCAGCGGGTGAAGGAATACAAGAAGTTCTGGTCGAATCTACCGCACTCCATATGCAGCAATGAGGACATAGCTGCCAGCTCCGATGTGGATGTTTTGTGCTGGAATGGACACACCATCGATAGGTACGACACCAGAAGATAGCAGCACGAGTACGCGAGTTACCAGAGCCGTGTTTAACACATCATTTCCCCTGTAGATATATGCACTCGATCACAACGGAGCACGGCTCCAACCCGGAGTTCAGTGGCAACCCGGCCAACACCCGGCAAACGGCGCAGATGTCCTCGCAGCTGTTCCACCTGAAGAACGCCGTCAGCCACCTGCGCAATGCCTACAACGGTCAGGACGTGGAGTGGAGTGAACAGGGTAGGTCGACAGAAAATTCAATAGGGCACGCCCACTTATTCCTAATTCGTTTCTTTTTGTTGTTCTGCAGAAGAGCCGTATTTGGGCAGTGGACCTGGTTCGGGTTCCGGTTCAGAGGACGACGAGGACGATGACGAGGGCTCTGGCCTGGGTCCTTTCGAGCCGAGCCACAAACCCGATGTGGACCGACCCTCGGTGGATGCCGACAACGATGACGACGAGGATGGCCATCCTCAGATTCCCACACACACATCCCGGCCGAATGTGGACGAGAAGAACCCCTTGGTCCATCCCACGCACTTCGATCATAACGATCTCGACGATGATCAGCATGGTGAGGGCGACGACGACGACGATGAGCTGGAGGGAGGGCATGGCGACGGCGATTCGAATGCCGATGGCGACGCCACTCGCTCGTCCAGTGCACCGGAGAAGATGACGCTACGTCGCGCTCTGGTTGTCTATTTGCTGCCTCTCTATATGGCGTGGCTCGGTGGCGTCTGCGCCGATTTGCTGTGATTAATCAATGTGCGACCTCGCAACCTGGAGCTCCCGCCTCCCGCCCCCACACCACACCTCTCAGTCATTCATCCGTGAAACAAAAAACAAAAGAAAACGTTATTAGGAGAACTACAACTTTATATACGAAATGCGAGTCCAAAATTTTATAAAAACTTTTGATGGAAGCAATCAAAATGCAATCAATCGGGATAGGATTAGGTGTAGGCGTAAGCGTGCCAGCTTATGAGGATAAGAATTTAGAGGAGGAGCGAGAGAATACGTAACGATCCCCCAATATAGTTCACTAAGAGCCCCACTACCCCTGCCCCAGCCTAGTTCTAAGTGCGAAATTCTATTTTCTAAGTGAGAGAGGGAGAGAGCGAGAGAGCGCGTGAATGTGTTGAATGAATGCAAGTGAATGAATGTGAGTACGAGTGCGAGTGCAAGTGAGTGCCTGTTCAATGTGATCGTTTAGCAAAAATTAACTATAAACTGTGTAGCCCCTAGAGACCTAAGCGATAAACATACACACCTACAATTATAATTTGTATTATATTTATGCATATATGTAGGAAACAGCACAGCACTGGACACACCTCTGTCTTTGTTTGGTCCAAAAGTGTATTTATGTGTTACATTGAGAAAAGTTTCTTGATTTAGTTACTGTGAAGATCTAAATCTTCAGTCTCGTCCACCTTGTCCACCTTGAAGTTCTCCTTAAAGTCGAAGTCATCGTCATCTGTTTCATCTGCTTCATCTGCTTCATCAGCTTCATCAGCTTCATCAGCTTCATCAGCTTCATCAGCTTCATCAGCTTCATCTGCTTCAGCTTCTTCATATTCTTCATCAGCTTCATCTTCTTCATATTCTTCATCTTCTTCGATTTCTTTTCTATCGAAAGTTTGGTTCAATTGTTGTAACGAAGTCCTCAAAGAAATGACGCGATTCAGGAGATTATCCAAGCGTTGACCCATTGATTCCATCCCCTGAAAGCTAGCATTGGGTTTGGCTACACATTTTTCCTCTACTTCCTGCCCGGCAGAGCTGGTGCATGGCTGCTTCTCACTCGATTCTGATGAAGACATTTTAATATTTTCGAAAAAATGTATTTGGATTTTCAGTTGATGTGTCTCTCGACTTTATCGGAACTTTATGTTTTTCTCAGGTTTTTGTAGTCAGCTAGTAAGAGAGCATAAAACTCCAAGCCACCCGAGACCGAGACCAAAAAGAATCTCGATATCAGACGAGGCTCTTTTGAAAAATAATCAAGTTGTCCCTATTGCGAACAGCTAAACCAAACACCATATAAAATATATTGTATAAATTACATAAAACATAAGCTCACATATGTACTGACTGAGTTCCGTACCGGTTATAAAAGTAATGTTGCAGCCCTTGCCGCGGCTAACAGCGTACCGCCTTGTTTTCTTTTAGATTAACATGCTACATGGTAACTACATGTTAACAGTGGCGCTTTGGCATGTGAAATGCCGTATGTACTGTTAAGCGCAAAAACAGACGCACTTAACGGTCCACTAGATAGTCCGGTTGAACTGGGGATTTCCTGAATCTGTGCGCCAGTTTAAAAGTTAAAACGGTACGAATCTTGGAGTTTTTTAAAGATTATTTTTAATGGCTGCTACACATTTCTTGGTGAGGTTTGCATGTTTTTTGCAAGACTGTCCGAATATCAGGTGTTATGATGTTGGGTTAATGTGGATTGTTTGGTCCAAAAGTGTCTTTGGTCGATTAATAGTGTGATATTGAAAGGTTACATTTTCCGCTTTTCGAGTGTTTTTATGTGTCAAATTGAGAAGAGTTTCTTGATTTAGTTACTGTGAAGATCTAAGTCTTCAGTCTCCGAAGGTTTTTCATGCTCCTCAATAAGTGCATCGTCCACCTTGTCCACCTTGAAGTTCTCCTTAAAGTCGAAGTCATCGTCATCTGTTTCATCTGCTTCATCTGCTTCATCAGCTTCATCAGCTTCATCAGCTTCATCAGCGTCATCAGCTTCATCAGCTTCATCAGCTTCATCTGCTTCAGCTTCTTCATCTTCTTCATCAGCTTCATCTTCTTCATATTCTTCATCTTCTTCGATTTCTTTTCTATCGAAAGTTTGCTTCAATTGTTGTAACGAAGTCCTCAAAGAAATGACGCGATTCAGGAGATTATCCAAGCGTTGACCCATTGATTCCATCCCCTGAAAGCTAGCATTGGGTTTGGCTGCACCTTTTTCCTCTACTTCCTGCCCGGCAGAGCTGGTGCATGGCTGCTTCTCACTCGATTCTGATGAAGACATTTTAATATTTTCGAAAAAATGTATTTGGATTTTCAGTTGATGTGTCTAGACTTTATCGGAACTTTATGTTTTTCTCAGGTTTTTGTAGTCAGCTAGTAAGAGAGCATAAAACTCCAAGCCACCCGAGACCGAGACCAAAAAGAATCTCGATATCAGACGAGGCTCATTTGAAAAATAATCAAGTTGTCCCTATTGCGAACAGCTAAACCAAACACTATATAAAATATATTGTATACATTACATAAAACATAAGCTCACATATGTACTGACTGAGTTCCGTACCGGTTATAAAAGTAATGTCGCAGCCCTTGCCGCGGCTAACAGCGTACCCGCTGGTTGTATATTACATCACATACTACATGGTGACACCATGTTGACAGTGCACTGTACCACTGCAGTGGTACAAACCACTGCAGGTTTGGGGGGTCATGTAATCAGTTGATCTGGTCATGTCCCTGCCAATTGAACTGTGCCCGTATCCTGCCCGTATCGATAGATTTCCTGATGCTATAAGGCGTTGTGCTGCCTTTCCCGCAATCAGGCGAGCGTGAATGTCCAGGGGGTCGATTCCGAGTACAGTTTCGAGTGCTTTTGTTGGGGTTGACCTCAGCGCCACTGTAATACAGAGCAGAGCCTGTCGCTGAGTCTTTTCCATAAGCTTATGGTATGTCTTCTTTTCAGTAGCCTGCCACCACACTAAGGCTCCATACAGCAGAGTTGGTCGCACCACCGAGATGTAGATCCAGTGCATTAGAGCAGGTGACAGGCCCCATGTGCTGCTGAGCATCTTCTTGGATGCATAAAGCGCAATGGTAGCCTTCTTCACCCTTTCCACTACATTGGGCCTCCATGCCAGCTTGCTGTCCAGTACTGTGCCTAGGTATTTCACCTGTGATTTTGGAGTCAGCCTAGTTTGATCAATTTTCGGGGGGGTCCATATCGGTACCTTGTACCTCTTGGTAAAGAGGATGAGGTCCGTCTTGTCCGCGTTGATACTGAGTCCTATTATGGCGCTGAGAGTCGATGGACATACACCCGTAATAAGTGTGCTTATGTCGTCTGCATAAGCTGTTATGTTTGGGGCCTTCCTTTCAAATCTCTTAATGAGGTCGTCGACCACCAAATTCCACAGTAGTGGCGACAAGACTCCACCTTGAGGTGTGCCTCTGTGTGCCCCCTTTACCATGGAAGCAGTGCCCCACTCCGATTGCACCCGTCTACAACTTAGGAGGTTTGAATGAATTCAAGTGAATGAATGTGAGTACGAGTGCGAGTGCAAGTGAGTGCCTGTTCAATGTGATCGTTTAGCAAAAATTAACTATAAACTGTGTAGCCCCTAGAGACCTAAGCGATAAACACACACACCTACAATTATAATTTGTATTATATTTATGCATATATGTAGGAAACAGCACAGCACTGGACACACCTCTGTCTTTGTTTGGTCCAAAAGTGTATTTATGTGTTACATTGAGAAAAGTTTCTTGATTTAGTTACTGTGAAGATCTAAATCTTCAGTCTCGTCCACCTTGTCCACCTTGAAGTTCTCCTTAAAGTCGAAGTCATCGTCATCTGTTTCATCTGCTTCATCTGCTTCATCAGCTTCATCAGCTTCATCAGCGTCATCAGCTTCATCAGCTTCATCAGCTTCATCTGCTTCAGCTTCTTCATCTTCTTCATCAGCTTCATCTTCTTCATATTCTTCATCTTCTTCGATTTCTTTTCTATCGAAAGTTTGGTTCAATTGTTGTAACGAAGTCCTCAAAGAAATGACGCGATTCAGGAGATTATCCAAGCGTTGACCCATTGATTCCATCCCCTGAAAGCTAGCATTGGGTTTGGCTGCACCTTTTTCCTCTACTTCCTGCCCGGCAGAGCTGGTGCATGGCTGCTTCTCACTCGATTCTGATGAAGACATTTTAATATTTTCGAAAAAATGTATTTGGATTTTCAGTTGATGTGTCTCGACTTTATCGGAACTTTATGTTTTTCTCAGGTTTTTGTAGTCAGCTAGTAAGAGAGCATAAAACTCCAAGCCACCCGAGACCGAGACCAAAAAGAATCTCGATATCAGACGAGGCTCATTTGAAAAATAATCAAGTTGTCCCTATTGCGAACAGCTAAACCAAACACTATATAAAATATATTGTATAAATTACATAAAACATAAGCTCACATATGTACTGACTGAGTTCCGTACCGGTTATAAAAGTAATGTCGCAGCCCTTGCCGCGGCTAACAGCGTACCCGCTGGTTGTATATTACATCACATACTACATGGTGACACCATGTTGACAGTGCACTGTACCACTGCAGTGGTACAAACCACTGCAGGTTTGGGGGGTCATGTAATCAGTTGATCTGGTCATGTCCCTGCCAATTGAACTGTGCCCGTATCCTGCCCGTATCGATAGATTTCCTGATGCTATAAGGCGTTGTGCTGCCTTTCCCGCAATCAGGCGAGCGTGAATGTCCAGGGGGTCGATTCCGAGTACAGTTTCGAGTGCTTTTGTTGGGGTTGACCTCAGCGCCACTGTAATACAGAGCAGAGCCTGTCGCTGAGTCTTTTCCATTAGCTTATGGTATGTCTTCTTTTCAGTAGCCTGCCACCACACTAAGGCTCCATACAGCAGAGTTGGTCGCACCACCGAGATGTAGATCCAGTGCATTAGAGCAGGTGACAGGTCCCATGTGCTGCTGAGCATCTTCTTGGATGCATAAAGCGCAATAGTAGCCTTCTTCACCCTTTCCACTACATTGGGCCTCCATGCCAGCTTGCTGTCCAGTACTGTGCCTAGGTATTTCACCTGTGATTTTGGAGTCAGCCTAGTTTGGTCAATTTTCGGGGGGTCCATATCGGTACCTTGTACCTCTTGGTAAAGAGGATGAGGTCCGTCTTGTCCGCGTTGATACTGAGTCCTACCTCTTCCGCCCACTCA